TAAGTTAAGAAATCGTCGGTATTGTAGTGAAATTTGGAGTCTTTTTTGATGCATGATTTAAGTTGAACTTCCAGCCAATCTTGTTGTTAATTATGCATTCTGATGTGTTCTTGAAGCTCAAGATTCGTTGGTGGCTTCCTCTAGCAATGGGAAAGGAAAGGCGGTCGTGCATTGAAGCGGTTGTTGTTAGTTGCTCATTGTTTCCGTAAGTGTGCGGTTCGGGTGCGGGTTTGCCCAAACCTTATTTTATTTAGAAACACAGGAGTAGGTTAATCCCCTATAATGGGTTATCGTGTAATTATTGTCGATGTTCTTTGTGTTAATTAAAAGTTTGTACGTTTTAGAGATGTATGATCGGTCATTTCTGAACAATTAGCATCGCGAACTTTTGTCGATAAATTTCCAACATTTGCTTTGAATTGTGTCCACTATTTTTGATGCACCTATATGTGGTATGATATGGTATATGATATGGTACATGGAAGGTTTAATACATGTGCAACACTAGTTGTTATAGTGGCACGAAAAGTGTCTATATGAGTTGTCGATAAAATTTATTGGTTGTAGTGATGAATCGAATGAGATTTTTAGCAAAGGTCACTCTAGTGACTAATGTAACAGTTGGTAACAAGGTCGGACTGCCCCGATCGATCATTGGGTGTTATAAACTTAATTTGTAATGGAACCCTCGTGACACAAATTTGATAATTCAACCCCCAATGTTAAGGTATCATAATGAAATGATTCAAAAACTAAGGGGACAAAGTACAATATCTAAAAAGGAAATCATTTAGAAGTTAAATTACCAGAACATAGTTTAAACAATAAATTAGTAAAACTAAGGAGGCATGGTTTTCATAATCAAAAAACGGAATAGAAACATTAAACTTTGGATTGGGTGGGGTGCGCCAGGCCCGAGCAATAGTGCAACGCTAGGGCGACGCTCGAGAGTCCCAGTAGCAAGCTACTGCGGTGGAACCTCCCCCTCAAAAAATAAATTTAATATCGTGTGGACCATTGGCCCACGTATCAGATATTAAACTGATAAGAACAGATACTACACTTGATCTTAGCCAAAAGGCCGAGAAAGGTATGTGTCCCAATGTTCAAGGCCGTTGGTTTTATAAGCAGCTTCTCGCTGCATCCCTTCGTACCCCAACCATGTGGGACGTTACATGCAGCATCTCATTTGTAAGCTGCTTCTGGAAATAAACAGCTTTGGTTTTAAAGGCGATTCTCGCATAAAGCAGTTTCATTGGAGATAATCAATCTCTGCCAATGTCATTCTCTTCATGGTTACACGATCAACAACTTCAACCACAAGTTATTTCATATTTGCATTCATCACATTAATATCAGTTACAAACCCACTTGTTACATCATCAAAATATTATTAGTTTTAATACTCATATGTGTATTTCAAGTTACTAATTGTTAAACTCTATTAGAAGCTCTTTTACTCCATCAAAAATTTATTTTACTCTCTCTATTATTCAAAGGGACATTTTAGTCCCTGTATGTTTAGAAAACTGAATATTTTAGTCCAAAATGTTAATCTACAGTTTCTTGAACCAATATATTGTATTTAATATCTTTTTGTCCCCCATCAATTAACTGATTTTATCATTCTAAAAAAATAACAATCTACTTCGTATATATTTCAGAAGCGAGCAAATAAGAACGACACTATATTGTAGAAATTGCAATTTTGCTACGAATTTTTTGCAAAAATTATTTAAATCATTTTTGTAAAGAAGAATTATGTCAAAAATATTTTCTTTGTGTTTTGGCTTAAATATCCAACTTAAAATATTTGTAAAGAGCCAAAAACACCCTAAAATGTGAAAACTTGAGCCTTAGATTTCAAAACTAAGTGTGAAGTTTTAAAACTTCTCCCAAGTGTTTCGAAACTCTTATACTAGTTTTAGAACTTCCATTCCATAGTGCTTAAGAGTTTCGAAAACCAATGCTGGATTTTGATACACGTATGTGTGATTCCAAAGCTCATGTTCTAGTATCTATACTCTAGGCCTCCAACGATTGATATTTTCAAACATGTTTTAGGAGTTTCGATTCTCCAAGAAGAGTTTCAAAACTATGGTTGCAATTGAGTATTTAAATCACGAATTTCATGCTTAAAATGGCTAGAAGCTACCTCCAACTTCTCCAAACGACTAGAAATCACTTAGATTATATAAAAAGGACCGCATAGTAGCTCAAGAACATGAAGAGAGGCTTTCCCAACATTCAAGAGTTTCGATGCCAATGTGTGAGTTTCCAAAACACATGTGCCAATATCGATACTTTGTGCCTCCAACGATTTATATTTTCATACATGTTTTAGGAGTTTCAATATTACAAGAAGAGTTTCGAAACAATGGTTGCAAGTTAGTATTTAATGGCTGGAATGTAACTTCCCAAAATCCGTGTCGGTAGAATCAAGTCTAATTTCACAATTTGTGTAAAATGAAAATTTTTAAAATATTATGAGATAATTTTTTTCGAATAATAATAAATATTTTCAAATTAAAATTGTTATTTTTAAAGTGTAAATTGATTTTGAAGAAAGGACTAACTTGAATTTTTAAATTAAAATTCAAGTTTAGTGACTAAATTTTAAAAGTATCAAGATTGTTAAATTTACATGTATTTTCCCAAGATCAATTTTCCCTTCATTTTCAACTATTTTGCCGTGAACTCTTATTGCAAATTCCTTTGATTTTTATCGATTTTAATAACTACCTTCTAAATTGTTTTAACTACCTTACTTCTTCATATCCGTTTTTGCTTACAAACACATTTTGAGCATCGTAATTGATGCTCTTAAGTGGTGTTGTTGATTTGGCAATATAGGTAAGAATTCCGGTCTTTGTTGTGATTCTCGTGTTTAGTTTTTTAGTAAATGTCACTGATGTGTAAGATATTAATTTTTATTGACTAAACCTATGTTTAAAATATGTTCTATCAAAATTATGAATTTGAAAAGTAGAAACTAAATCGAACATCAATTGATCAAGTTGCGATTTCTATACTAAATTGTAAAAAAATAAAAATTAAGGGCAGAGTTTTGAAAATATTTGGTCCAGAATTCAAAACTTTTGGTCCATAATTTTTAGAGGTATTGAAAATATTTTTCATCCCAAAAATGTGTAGTAAGTCAGTTGATGTTCTCGCCTTAATTTTTTTTTTTAATTTCTTGACTAAAATAAATTGTTTCATCCCTCCTATGCTGGTATCATTTAGACCTATAGCTTAAATCAACTAAGTATCGGTACTGTCATTTAGTACCCACCATCATACCATATATATCATAAATTCAATAAACTAAGCAATTCTAAAATGATGTCGTATAACTCAATTCAATCAAACACCATAAATCAAACCAACTACGCTTTCAACATAACAACGCGTACAAAATCATAACATAACTCTTATATATCAATTTTACACAATTTTTTTACATAGTCAAGTATATCGAAACATCGAACTTACATATAGAAACTTGAAACATCTTGGGTTTTGGCTTGGTACTTATCGATACTTAAAGATAGTTATCGAATAGCATATCGATTTCTGGGGGGAAAAACTTGTTTTCAATATTAATTTGGAAAAATATTTTAGAAAGGAAAATTCAAGAGGATTAAAATATTTTGAATTTCGAATTTAAAGTTAAGGAATATTTTGAAACGAGGACCAAAATTGATGCTCCAAAAGCATTATTCCTTTTTGTGATTATGTAGTTAAATTCTTTTTTTAAATTTTTGTTTTAATTACAAAATATATCTGCTTATATACCTCATTTTAATAATTAAGAATAATATATTGGATTTAATTTAGTTCAACGAAATCATAACTACCGTTGAATTTTAACTACATTGTTTTCGTTTAAGTGTAAAATATGTGGGCTACAGGTATAAAGGATTTCATGCCGATTTTTGTATCATATTGCGATTTTGTTCTTGAAATTCTGAAAATTAGGTCTCGATAGAATTAAGAAACTTTATATGTTTAATATGGTGATTTAGGGTTTAGATTAGAAATCCTTGATGATATTAATAGCGCTTTTAGGTGTTGGTCTTGATGGTATAAAATGTGTCCATTAAGTTAAGAAATCGTCGGTATTGTAGTGAAATTTGGAGTCTTTTTTGATGCATGATTTAAGTTGAACTTCCAGCCAATCTTGTTGTTAATTATGCATTCTGATGTGTTCTTGAAGCTCAAGATTCGTTGGTGGCTTCCTCTAGCAATGGGAAAGGAAAGGCGGTCGTGCATTGAAGCGGTTGTTGTTAGTTGCTCATTGTTTCCGTAAGTGTACGGTTCGGGTGCGGGTTTGCCCAAACCTTATTTTATTTAGAAACACAGGAGTAGGTTAATCCCCTATTATGGGTTATCGTGTAATTATTGTCGATGTTCTTTGTGTTAATTAAAAGTTTGTACGTTTTAGAGATGTATGATCGGTCATTTCTGAACAATTAGCATCGCAAACTTTTGTCGATAAATTTCCAACATTTGCTTTGAATTGTGTCCACTATTTTTGATGCACCTATATGTGGTATGATATGGTATATGATATGGTACATGGAAGGTTTAATACATGTGCAACACTAGCTGTTATAGTGGCACGAAAAGTGTCCATATGAGTTGTCGATAAAATTTATTGGTTGTAGTGATGAATCGAATGAGATTTTTAGCAAATGTCACTGTAGTGACTAATGTGACAGTTGGTAACAAGGTCGGACTGCCCCGATCGAACATTGGGTGTTGTAAACTTAATTTGTAATGGAACCCTCGTGACACATAAATTTGATAATTCAACCCCCAATGTTAAGGTATCATAATGAAATGATTCAAAAACTAAGGGAACAAAGTACAATATCTAAAAAGGAAATCATTTAGAAGTTTATTTACCAGAACATAGTTTAAACAATAAATTAGTAAAACTAAGGAGGCATGGTTTTCATAATCAAAAAACGGAATAGAAACATCAAACTTTGGATTGGGTGGGGTGCGCCAGGCCCGAGCAATAGTGCAACGCTAGGGCGACGCTCGAGAGTCCCAGTAGCAAGCTACTGCGGTGGAACCTCCCCCTCAAAAAATAAATTTAATATCGTGTGGACCATTGGCCCACGTATCAGATATTAAACTGATAAGAACAGATACTACACTTGATCTTAGCCAAAAGGCCGAGAAAGGTATGCTTCCCAATGTTCAAGGCCGTTGGTTTTATAAGCAGCTTCTCGCTGCATCCCTTCGTACCCCAACCATGTGGGACGTTACATGCAGCATCTCATTTGTAAGCTGCTTCTGGAAATAAACAGCTTTGGTTTTAAAGGCGATTCTCGCATAAAGCAGTTTCATTGGAGATGATCAATCTCTGCCAATGTCATTCTCTTCATGGTTACACGATCAACAACTTCAACCACAAGTTATTTCATATTTGCATTCATCACATTAATATCAGTTACAAACCCACTTGTTACATCATCAAAATATTATTAGTTTTAATACTCATATGTGTATTTCAAGTTACTAATTGTTAAACTCTATTAGAAGCTCTTTTACTCCATCAAAAATTTATTTTACTCTCTCTATTATTCAAAGGGACATTTTAGTCCCTGTATGTTTAAAAAACTGAATATTTTAGTCCAAAATGTTAATCTACAGTTTCTTGAACCAATATATTGTATTTAATATCTTTTTGTCCCCCATCAATTAACTGATTTTATCATTCTAAAAAAATAACAATCTACTTCGTATATATTTCAGAAGCGAGCAAATAAGAACGACACTATATTGTAGAAATTGCAAATTTGCTACGAATTTTTTGCAAAAATTATTTAAATCATTTTTGTAAAAAAGAATTATGTCAAAAATATTTTCTTTGTGTTTTGGCTTAAATATCCAACTTAAAATATTTGTAAAGAGCCAAAAACACCCTAAAATGTGAAAACTTGAGCCTTAGATTTCAAAACTAAGTGTGAAGTTTTAAAACTTCTCCTAAGTGTTTCGAAACTCTTATACTAGTTTTAGAACTTTCATTCCATAGTGCTTAAGAGTTTCGAAAACCAATGCTGGATTTTGATACCCGTATGTGTGATTCCAAAGCTCATGTTCTAGTATCTATACTCTAGGCCTCCAACGATTGATATTTTCAAACATGTTTTAGGAGTTTCGATTCTCCAAGATGAGTTTCAAAACTATGGTTGCAATTGAGTATTTAAATCACGAATTTCATGCTTAAAATGGCTAGAAGCTACCTCCAACTTCTCCAAACGACTAGAAATCACTTAGAGTATATAAAAAGGACCGCATAGTAGCTCAAGAACATGAAGAGAGGCTTTCCCAACATTCAAGAGTTTCGATGCCCATGTGTGAGTTTCCAAAACACATGTGCCATTATCGATACTTTGTGCCTCCAACGATTTATATTTTCATACATGTTTTAGGAGTTTCAATATTACAAGAAGAGTTTCGAAACAATGGTTGCAAGTTAGTATTTAATGGCTGGAATGTAACTTCCTAAAATCCGTGTCGGTAGAATCAGGTCTAATTTCACAATTTGTGTAAAATGAAAATTTTTAAAATATTATGAGATAATTTTTTTCGAATAATAATAAATATTTTTAAATTAAAATTATTATTTTTAAAGTGTAAATTGATTTTGAAGAAAGGACTAACTTGAATTTTTAAATTAAAATTCAAGTTTAGTGACTAAATTTTAAAAATATCAAGATTGTTAAATTTACATGTATTTTCCCAAGATCAATTTTCCCTTCATTTTCAACTATTTTGCCGTGAACTCTTATTGCAAATTCCTTTGATTTTTATCGATTTTAATTACCTTCTAAATTGTTTTAACTACCTTACTTCTTCATATCCGTTTTTGCTTACAAACACATTTTGAGCATTGTAATTGATGCTCTTAAGCGGTGTTGTTGATTTGGCGATATAGGTAAGAATTCCGGTCTTTGTTGTGATTCTCGTGTTTAGTTTTTTAGTAAATGTCACTGATGTGTAAGATATTAATTTTTATTGACTAAACCTATGTTTAAAATATGTTCTATCAAAATTATGAATTTGAAAAGTACAAACTAAATCGAACATCAATTGATCAAGTTGCGATTTCTATACTAAACTGTAAAAAATAAAAATTAAGGGCAGAGTTTTGAAAATATTTGGTCCATAATTTTTAGAGGTATTGAAAATATTTTTCATCCCAAAAATGTTCGAATCTCATCCAAAAATGTGTAGTAAGTCAGTTGATGTTCTCGCCTTAATTTTTTTTTAAAATTTCTTGACTAAAATAAATTGTTTCATCCTTCCTATGCTGGTATCATTTAGACCTATAGCTTAAATCAACTAAGTATCGGTACTGTCATTTAGTACCCACCATCATACCATATATATCATAAATTCAATAAACTAAGCAATTCTAAAATGATGTCGTATAACTCAATTCACTCAAACACCATAAATCAAACCAACTACGCTTTCAACATAACAACGCATACAAAATCATAACATAACTCTTATATATCAATTTTACACAATTTTTTTACATAGTCAAGTATATCGAAACATCGAACTTACATATAAAAACTTGAAACATCTTGGGTTTTGGCTTGGTACTTGTCGATACTTAAAGATAGTTATCGAATAGCATATCGATTTCTGGGGGGAAAAACTTGTTTTCAATATTAATTTAGAAAAATATTTTAGAACGGAAATTCAAGAGGATTAAAATATTTTGAATTTCGAATTTAAAGTTAAGGAATATTTTGAAACGAGGACCAAAATTGACGCTCCAAAAGCATTATTCCTTTTTGTGATTATGTAGTTAAATTCTTTTTTTAAAATTTTGTTTTAATTACAAAATATATCTGTTTATATACCGTATTTTAATAATTAAGAATAATATATTGGATTTAATTTAGTTCAACGAAATCATAACTAACGTTGAATTTTAACTACATTGTTTTCATTTAAGTGTAAAATATGTGGGCTACAGGTATAAAGGATTTCATGCCGATTTTTGTATCATATTGCCGATTTTGTTCTTGAAATTCTGAAAATTAGGTCTCGATAGAATTAAGAAACTTTATATGTTTAATATGGTGATTTAGGGTTTAGATTAGAAATCCTTGATGATATTAATAACGCTTTTAGGTGTTGGTCGTGATGGTATAAAATGTGTTAATTAAGTTAAGAAATCGTCGGTACGAAATGGTTTCGTCGTGTTTTGTAGTGAAATTTGGAGTCTTTTTTTATGCATGATTTAAGTTGAACTTCAGGCCAATTTTGTTGTTATTTATGCATTCTGATGTGTTCTTGAAGCTCAATATTCGTCGGTGGCTTCCTCTAGCAATGGGAAAGGAAAGGCGATCATGCATTGAAGCGGTTGTTGTTAGTTGCTCGTTGTTTCCGTAAGTGTACGGTTCGGGTGCGGGTTTGCACAAACCTTATTTTATTTAGAAACATAGGTGTAACACCCCTAACCTATACCTGACTATTCAAAACAATATTCATATAAAATAACAGATTATTTGGACTTATTTTAAGAATACGAGTCTGAGGTGTCACATTGACTATTCAAAACAATATTCGTATAAAATAACAAATTATTTGGACTTATTTTAAGAAAATACAATAATATACCATTGAATTATGTTCGTTATAACAAATTTAAGGAAAGAAACATTTTTATGAATAGTACTATACGGTATGAACAGTACTGGGAACAGTAATGTACAATAACATGAATAGTAATGAACAATATCGTGAACAATATCGAATGCTAAAATTTTCCAGAATGCTATAGGGGTATAGATACACTGCTACAGTGTACCGATACCCTACTACAGAAATTTCGGCAAAACATGTATAAAACTCATGAAATTTAAACTTTCATCACAATAAATTATCATTTACATATATACGTTTAAAACATTGCAAAACTCGATCAGAGTATATCATATTCAAACTTTTTATATTACATGCCAACTAAACTCTATATCACAAAATACATGTAATTCAACTACATTTCTGATCTGATCTTTGGTAAGGAGAACTGACATGTCTTGTTCCTCTTTACTTCTCTTTTTCTTTTTCCAAACCTACGTGTGAAACAATCACACGCTAAGTCGATGACTTAGTGAGGCATGAAAACATGTAATAAGACCATCATTATCATGATTTCTACCATTATCATTAACCCATTTATCATATGATCTTGTACTTATCACTTCAGTATATCATGTAACACATATATCATTTCAAAAAGAAACACATATAACATCATATAATAATAATGCAAACATTTTTGATATCTTTTATAGGCCCATGTACATTACTGAGAACTTAAGGTATTCGAGTACATTGAGGTTGTGCACTTATGTTGTCACCACAGCTCGTATAAGTCCCACTGAGTGGCATATGAAATTTGTCCCGAAGAACCTATGTATTTGTCTCGAAGGACCTTTGTAAATGTCCTGAAGGACCGTGTAGACCCTTGACTCTGGGCATGCCAACTATACCTATAGCTCTCGTATCATATACCATGGGCATTATTCTTATGTTTCATATGTTCATGTACTCATGTCATTTCTCTTGTGACCACATATACTTTTTCTTTTATCACATACCACATGTATGTGTAAACATCTGTGTCATTTCATATAACATGTATCACATGTGCATGTAATCACATAAATCGTATAATATAACTTATATCATTTCTCATGGGTTCATGTAAACATGTATATCATATCTTATTCACATATGTTCATATATACATCACATAGCACATAGAATAACATATAAACTTGTACATGTATTCATGTATATACTTTCATCTAATCTGTATATCAAAGCCCTATAACTTATCTCATAGTTTTTATAGCTTGTCACATAGGCATGTATTTTCATATATTAGATTCACATATCTTATATTACATGTTCATATAGTCACTTATACATGTATTCTTATAATTTCTTATCATATCATATGGTTTATATCTTCATAACACATCATGTATTCACATCAATTATATAAACACATATACTCACATAACTTGTGTCATTTCTTATGAAATCACTTATAACATATAACATAAAACATATAACATATAACATATTACATATAACATATAACATACAACATATAACATACAACATATAACATATAACATATAACATAC